TATATATATATATATATATATATATATATATATATATATACCGGACAATAACATCATCATCATCCGATTGTTTCCAATTCTACAGCTTACATTCGCATTTTACGATAAATTTATCCCAATACCGGAAGGGAGACAGTCGTTTTATTCGTTATTAATAGGATTGCTCTGTATTCAAAGAACAGAGGCAGTGCTATCATTCTCCGTTGCTGGATATTTTCTCATCCTGGCCCTTGTACTTCCTACCTCCACAGACTTTCCCGTTTACATGCCCCGTGCTCCCGACCCCCCCGCGAAATTTGTCCAAGCTCAACACAAATCGATCGGTGCTTCGGTACGTATTTTTTCGGAACGTAGTACCTTCGTTGACAAAGAGTTCATTTTTTCAACTCATTTCTTTGCAAATTTTCTGCCTTAGGAATGACGAGTTTGATCGGAGCGCACATTCATTTTCCCCTAATATTTTTAACTTCAAACGCAATTTATTTGTCTCTCTGTCGTTGAAGTTTGCTCAGTATTACTTAGTTGTAGCGAGACATTTCGAATATCATACAGTCTTTAGCGAAATACACACATTTGGTTTTGACTGGAGACTCACCTAGAACCCAGCTTAAACCCTTGTTTATGATGTTGACGGCAACTTGGGTACCGCGCCTACTTGATGACCAGAAGAAAAGTGGGTTATCGAAGAGTTTTCAGCAACCTTATGAGTAGCATGTTACGTCTATACAATGTATCGCGATATCTCGAATATTGTGTTAACTGAAACATAAGACGGCCTGGTGCAGCACATTCAGTTGCTGTACCAGCTGGGTTCCAGATAAGTCCCCCGTCAAAACCAAATCAGTTTGCAAATGGGTGCATTTCGCTAATTCCCTGGACAGGGGAAGTCGAGAGGCGGAGGTTGGATTCGAACCACGCACCTCCCGCTCAGTAAATTCGCGCTCTAACCACTTGGGCCATCTCGCCCCATATATTTAATCCGCAGACTAGCTAGTGGGTGCTAGAACTAAAAGCTTATTTCTCATTAGAAGCTGTCTGACAAACATTACGTACGGAACACTTGATAAAATAAGAAAGCTGAACCTTAAGTCTGAGAAAGAGTGATTTTTCTGCAACCCTTCACTTCAGCGCTGCCAGATTGTACTATGTATCGTCATCTGCAGGTGATTACTTTACCAATGCCACGTGTTCCACGACACTTACCGCCTCCCTGGATGAGAATACCGGAACTCAACTCATCAGTGGTTAATGACCCTGTTAGACTTGGCTTGATCACGCAATCAGTGATACTGGAAGCTATCATCGCATGTAGCTACCCAGCTTCCGAAACGAACTGATTATGCTTGACTATCTCCCACGCCCTTCCACTTTTCGGTAACCGAGGCTGTAGCAGCCGTAACTAGCGTACCATTGGTATATGGCTTGCGGTTGATAAACTGAACTGAATGTGTCTCACGAACTAGTTTAACCATGACGTGATGCACTACTCATAAAGTTACTGAAAAACATAAATGAGAGATTCAGCTGGGATCCAGGAAACTCATTTGAAATGTAAATGGGTGTATTTCGGTAGCTTGAATATGCATAGTGTACCTAACAGTTCTGAGTACATCTCACACTTGAGTGTGTGAGCTAATAACTACTCGGACATAAAGGCTGTCTTGTTTCCCAAATGCTATTCCGTCATCCTACAGGTCAGCATTAGTTCCAGTAGTATTTGTCAACCCCTCTCTATGACCGTGTGCCAAGGTGAAATTTCCCCCACAGAGCGCATGCCGCATGAAGCGCTCAATGATCTTCCCACTTTCCTGAAGTACTCGCCCTTAAGGAAGATACCACGAAAAGAGTTATCTATTTTTTAAATTGCTCCCCTTGCTTGCC